GCGCTGAATTTGATCTAATATTTGATGTTTGTAGATTTAACTAGCAAATGAGAATCGCTAAAATTATTGAATATATTTTGAGACAAATGTCGTCTTCATTTTTAGGTTTGAAAAATCCATCATATTTAAATATATATATTATATGCAGGGTTCCCGCGGATCCTTAAAAAGTCTTAAATTAGATTTTTTAAAATTTAAGACCATAAAAAGTCTTATAAAGTCTTATTTTTACTTATGAAAGGTCTTAAATTTTAGATGACACTTTGACTTAGACATATCTAAAAGCTTTCCAAATTAAAACTATCTAATTAGCGTACGTTTTTTTTATTTTTTTTTATTCTATCTTTGTGGATTTGCTAGTTCACGTGACATTTCGCGTCACTCGCGAGTCGCGGCAGCATAACTGTCTCCTGCACGCAAGAGGAGAGAAAGAGAAGAAAGGTCATAAATGTCAGTTCAGTTATAAGTTCATTCTTTATGTGCGTATGGTGTGCGATCATGTGTATTGTCTATTATGATATTGTATTCATTGTTTTAACAATGTACGAGGCACTGCCAGCTGACATCGCATTTGTCTCGTGCTTTCACTGCGTGATGTGTGCAGTGTAACTGTTATGTCCCCAAATTAATTTTTGTCTTATATTTATATCATATTATGTTCTTATATTAGAATATCACATCAGAAAGAGTGCCGTTTTCCCGTGCACGATTCCAAGTGTGATATTTATGTTATACAACTGTTAAATTAACAATAAGTTAACATTGAAACTACTTTTTAGACACAATATTGTTAATATTGTTTGTTTTCCCTTTATTTCGCCGACTATAATTTCAAAATGAAACCGTAGCAGAGTCTCAATGCAACCGACAGCGATGATTTCTTGACTGAAATCCGCGTTTTGAACGAATCACTTGCTTCTTTCCCGAATGAATCAGCCGTTTGAACGAATCGGTTGAATGAATGACTCCCTCAACTCACTTATTAAGACAGTGATTTGCCGCTGCGGTTTCATATTTAAAGTACCCTTTAAATAAAATGTTAAAATTAGAAATCATTTCATATTTAAATATTGAATATTGATTTAAAAATATAGATCTCATAGCTTTATTTATGCAGTTGTAAATGGAGTGTAAATAAATTAATTCCACTTCTGATGCCGCTTCTGTCACCTCTGCACTGCAAAGATGGATTTTGATTGAATGATTTAATTTGACTGGTAACAGTGGTACTGTATGATTATTATATAATTAAGTATTATTGTATAATTACTGTATAATTTAATTTGAATGATAGTATTTGACATTAAAGGTGATGCATAACTCTAAATAAGTTTAGAAAAAATGTCCATATATAGGTGAAAATGCCCCTGAAAAAATCAATTTAAGGTGGCAAATATTGCCCCTTAATCAAAATTTTTATTTGTCACTGCTGTGAACCGACCACTGCATAGAATATGAAAAATATGAATATCTTCGTGAGTCAGCAAGGCACCAGCACAAAAACACAATCAGTAAAATATCATCTAATTATTATCAACAAAACGTTGAAAATATCAAGATATATTTGTCAATACTGCACAGCCCTAATGTACGGTATTAATTTGGATTTCTTAAGGTCTTAAAAAGGTCTTAAAAAGCCTTAAATTTGACTTTCAAAAGTGTGCAGGAACCCTGTATATGATATTAATCATCCTATAATAAAATATCATTTATTGTTACTACTGTAAATCTTTATTAAATTATTATGGGATCTCCTTCAATTCTCCTCCCTTTCAGAATCTTTACTTTTTTAAATAATTTGGTTTCTGTATTTAAAAAATATATATTTTTATACTAACATTTTAATGACAGTATTGAACAAAAATAAAAATAAACTGAGAATATTACAAACTTTGCTAAAGGGATCGTTTTGAACAAGTATTAACCTAGACATTATTAAAAACATTATTTGAACTAAAGTATTTGTATAAATCTGCACCTTTTGCCTCATGCTGGTGAGCCTTTTACTCCGTTACCCACATTTTAAACTAAACAAACCACTTTTATGATTTATTTTCACACAAAATCTGTTGCTCCATCAATTAAACATCAAACATATATTGTGTTTTTTTTAAGGTGTGCCTTTAGCCCCGTTGTACCCTATAGTTTTTGCTGCAGAGATGGGTGTCTAAAAGAAATGTAAAGAAAAATAAAGTGGTGTTTTGTTGATGTTGTTTTTAGTGGTTGCTTTGGTAACCTACAGTGTCTTAACAAGAAACATGTATTATCATTCCTAGAGATAAAAGCTGCATAGCCTGTTTTCTTTATGCTAAATGTTACATGCTTCTAACAATGGCTGGTTAATCTAGCCTAAGCGGTTAAAATTTGTCCGTTCCACAGTTGTAATCTAAGCTTAATCTAAGACAACAATTGCAGCTCATTCCATGCATTAACGTTGATGCCAAGTACAAAACTGACGCACTTTTTTGCCTTTGAGGTATTTTTTTCATGTGTCAATCATTTACGCATCACTCTCTGTAATGAATGACAGCGGTTATTGAATGCGCCCTTGCAAAATCAACTTTCTTGTATTACGATCTCATTGTAAGACGTAATTTAAAGTGCTTAACAGACTTATTGAATGATAATGCCTTTGATCCTGCCAAAACGGTACTGGTGATCTCAATTATGTGTGTGTAATGAGCCTGTGTCGGCTCAGAACCCATAAACACACTGGTTTATCGTCACAAAACCCCTGCTTTTATTTCAGATGGATAAAGAGGACAATAAATAATAGCAAACATTAGATCTACGTTTTTACAATACAGCAGTTCTTGGATCTCATGGATAATCCTAAAGGTTTTGTTGAATGTCATTTTCGCCCTCTCGGCATGCCTCCTGATTCAACACGGCATGTTTGTCCCACATTGGTACGCTGTCGCTGTGCATCTCTGCTCGTCCAGCTGTTCTTGAATCTTTTCCAAACCCGTCAGAGCTCTTGTTTATTCAAAATGGTTCAATCCAATCCAGATTAATGGCGCTTTATCATCTGTCCCCTCCTCCTCCTCCTCTTCGACTTTAATCACAGGACAACGTTGCCAGCAGGAAACCAGGCCCAGAATTTCCCCCTTTTTTAAAAGACTTCCGATGGATTTGCTTCATTTTGATGGGAAATGAAATGCCTCATTATTAATTGACAAAATTATGGCTCTTTTTTTTTTTAGAGCCTAAATCTAGTTGTGTACTAAGTATAAGTATACTACTGTAAGTAGAAGCATTTCAGTTCTCTTTGGCCCGGTTTCACAGGCGGGGCTTAGATCTTAGTTCAGTTAGGACATTAAAATAGCTTTTAGAAATTTGCCTTAGAAACAAAACATTACTGGTGTGTATCTTGAGACAAAACGCATATCAGTGCAAGTTGCTTTCAGCTCAAACATGCGTTTTAGTCTGGGACAAGGCTTAAGCCTTCTGTGAACCCGGGGGTTTAACTTTAATTTGATGTTGTTTATATGATAACTTGAAGAGATGGAACATAAAAACACTGTTTTATCTGCAAATTTGGAGAGTGCTGACCTAGGGCTTTTCCAAATACCATAATTCATCCGTTTCAAAACTACGTAATTGAGAATGAAGTGGGAGGGCGGCTCTATCCCTTTTCTTCCTCTGTTTTTAAACATCACATTTAAGGCTTAACTCTTAAATCCTTTTCATACACCACCGAATCCTTGAACTCGGTGACATTTCTGCATTGAGGGTTGGTTGGATGGATGCCCTGCCCAACCTTAAGAAACTTTGTGTTGGTTACACTGTGCTGAGGTCATGCCGGAGCCGAATGTATGTTTTTAGTGTATATATGACTTTATGCTTCATAATGCATTTGTACTATACAGCAGCAAGAAAGTTTTGAGTTTGATTTTGCCATTAATTCTAATTCAGATGTGGATATCATTCATAAATGACTTTGTAAGCATCCACATATTGAGATGAAATGCTGCAACAGCATTCATAAAACATATTTGCGCATTCCACTTGATCATTTTTCTATTAGTTGCAATGGAGAAATCAAATGCATTGCGTGAAATTAGTCAACCACAAAATGCATTTGATGCTGAAAGGTCCCTTGTGACAAGAAAATGAATGGGTGTAAAGAAAAAGATTAAGCAGAAATGACTTTACTGACATCACATTTAGTTGAATTAAAACAGTCTCGTTTTGAAATTGCTTCAGTCTATCTCTTCACTGTAAGCAAACAGGGATTCACGCATCAGCTCCTCACAAGTGAATAAACAGCAGTGCTTCACACGCAACTTTTGATTCCCACAACTTTAGTTCCCACAGCTCTGAATGTTTTCTGGTTATGCAAATTGATTCCTTGTGTAAAAGCTCTAAGTGAATCATTCGAATTAGTCACCTGGTGAGGATGGAGGTGGTTAGCACTATTTTATCTGCCTAAATGTACAATAAATAATTCTAGACATTTAAAAACCCCGTTAAATAAAAAATTAGAGTTTTGTGCTTTTTAGTCGATGTGCGTTAACTTTGAGAAGTTGTATATGCTAAACGTTGACAAAATTCACTATAAACATTCATATTTGCAATGTTACTCTTCTAGTAAAAATGACCAAAACAAATTGATGACTCATCCTGCACTGCACTTATTTTTGTCCAATCAGATGCTCTCTAAAAGGAGAATGCCCCGCCCCCTAACACCACCTGCAATCTGACTAGCAAATCGTGGTCATGGGTTTGACGTACCTACAGCTGCGCTGGTCAGATTTCTTTCCTGTGTTAACATTTCCCTTTGAAACAGGAAGTGTAGGTGGGTCATATCAAAAGACTCATCCCTTTTATTTTTAAATAGCCAGCAGATTTCAGTTACATCCCAGCAAAAAAAAAAAAAAAAAACTATGATGTTCTATTTGCTAGTCATTTGCTAGTCAATCTCATTATAAAGAGCATTTGATTGGGCAAAAATCCATCATTCCATCAGAGTCATCAATATTTTCTCAGAAAGAAAACACTAAATTTTATATTTATATTTAGGAAGAGCGAAGCTACTGCACTAAACCACAAAACTCTAATTCCAACGTTTAAACATAAGGCTACATAACACAAATACATAGTGTTGGTATTATAACATTAGTCAGCACACAGTGGACATCTCTCAGTCTATGCATCGGTTAATTAGTTTTAATTTGATAAGCTGCACCTTATAAGCGATTCTCCATTTGTACAAGTGAGGCAATTAGAGAGTGAGGCGATCGTAACACTACACTGGTATAATTTACATGCATTCCTCTCTTATAAAGAGAGAATATTACTGAAATCTAGAGAGGCGAAATATTCCCTGAGTTCGCGTCGTATTGAATGATTCTGGGCCCATTATGATTTCAACAGTCACACAAGTGACTCGCAAACAGGTGCGTTATCCGAGTCTTGGCTGTGCATTGAACTCAGTCCGGTGTCCGAATCATCATCATTGGCGCATGTTTTTGACAGTCCCCTCGCCTGCTCTACCCATACATTGTCTTTGTCTACGGAAGGCAGTTGTTCAGTTTTCCCCTCATCTTTGCTGTCATCAGCCTGTTTCCCTTCCAGCTCGTCTAATCTGTGAACCTTTTCAAGTAATTCCCTCAACTCCTGTTCCTTCGCGCCCAAAAGCTCCTCACTCATATCCAAGTCGCTCTTCACCGTCTCCAGATCAGTGTTCAAGCGCAACCCGATGTATAAACTCGTATCCAGCTGTGTTTTGATCCTCTCCTCCTCTAATTGGAGTTCATTGTCTGTTAGGAGGTCCGGAGCAACTAAGACCGGTTCCTCGGGGACAGAAGTCACCCTGAGAGCCGTTTCTTCTCCAGCGCTGTCCGCGTCTTTGTTGGAGAGCTCCTCCTGCCGCCGTCTCATCCACCTTTGGTTGAGTTCTTCTTGTATTTCACCTGTAAGTATCTCCATCAGAGCCTCCCTCTCGGTTAGTTCCTCCTGAAGTTGAATGACTTGGTCGCAGCGTGACGCGTATTCCTCAAACTGCGCAAAGGAGGACGCGTCCGGATGCGCGCTGGAATCCCTATCCAAGCCCTGGTCGAGCAAATACGTGTCTTGCACATAGTTTACGCCGTGTATTTTCATTCTGTCAGAGTGAACTTTTGATTCATACCTCTCGATTTCACTGTCCAGCTCTTTTATTCGCTCTACCTGCTGTCGAATTGTATGATCCTGCGAGATGATAAGATGAACGAGCGTTTCCATTTTCTCCGCAGATTTGTCTTTGGAAACCTCCTCCTTCTTTTTGTTAATTTTATCCAACTTTCTAAAAGCCTTTCGCACAATCCTCCGCTGTTTTTCCTGTGAAAATGGCGTGGTGGTTTTCGCAGTGCAGGGACTGTCTTTGCTGAGCACGACCCGAGCCTCGGCGCTCCTCGGTCCGCTGTTGGGCAGCGACGCATCGCTTCTGACCAGGACGAAGCGCACGTTTTCCTGCTCGTCTCCCCAAGCGCCCCACAGCCGAAGGATTTTCGTTTTATTCGGCAGAATCCGCTCAAAACCCCTCCATTTCTCCACGATGCAGTAAGACTGTGGAGTACCGCTGAGCATCGCGCCTTGCTGTAAGGTCTGGTCCTCCAGCAACACTTTTACCACGTCCGCGCAGGTGGTGCGTCTGGACAGTCCGGACACCAGCTTCTCCTCCCGGCATACCCACACCGAGATTTTGCTCTCCTCTTGTTCCATGATGATTCACATCGAGGCACTTTCACATTCATATAATGTTAGAAGGGGTGAAAACTTGATCAACTGGAGAGATGACTCGTCACTGTGCGTTCGCCACTGTGAACTGAGAGTTGTGTTTGTCCCTGAACTACAGCAGCGTGTTTCTGAGGGCTCAGGCACCTCCCAACATCACATGACTTTATACTCCAACTTCACTCATTGTTGATAATAATGCACTGACTGAGGTGATCATAAACACATACTGAGAATATCGGTGCTACTTGTCACATATTTAGTCCATTTACGCCACTGAATATTTCTCAGGATATGGCTATTTTTATTTTTATGTACAAAATGGATTTTAACATTTCAATCAGAATTGCGCATAAACGTTGACCAATAGCGGGGCTTGATGTCACAATGGAAGCTTCCATTAAACAAACTGTAAAAAAAAAAAAAAAAAACTTTTGTTAATACAAAAATTAACAAATATCCATCAATATAGGCTTTTCAGCAAAATGTAAACTCACAAAACTATGTCACAAATACATTTTTGAAACAACGAAAATGTTTTACTAACACAAAAATATCAAACATTTCTTTTGACAAACAATGTTGTTCGTGGTTTCCCAAACTGGGTTTTTTAAAAAGCTAATAATTATATCATAAAATGTTAAATTAAAATAAACGATAAAAAAAAACTTAATAAAATGTTAACATGTTACATATAATAGAACACTGCATTCAATTATTGAAATTAAACTTTATTTTAAGGTGACGTAGTTACACGTTACTACAGTAGGGTGAAGGTCTGGTTTAGGGTTAGTTGTTATGCATACTTTACTGTTATTACTATTATACATGTAGTTAATTAATATTGATCAGTATAGGCTACTTATTTGAATAAGTGCAATGTAACTACGTCACCTTAAAAAAATAAAGTGTAAACCTCAAGAGGGATATGCTTCGAGTAAATATTTTAGATCAAAGGGTTTCGGCAGACCAAAATTTGGGAATCCTCTTGTAATTAATAAATTACATACATTTGTAACAACGTGTTTACAACACAATTTACAACGTGCCCCAATAAATATTTGATGACTTGCCTGACATTTAAGAAAATGTCCCTATTCTGAGAACACAGATCAACAAGTGATATACAATATAAAGCATTATATAACGTAAGCTATAATCTTTGTTAATATTATTGGTGTTACTAGTTCTTTAAATGTAGTTGCCTACGTCTATTCATGACGCAATTTGATAAAATGAGATTTAGACCATACTGTAGCCAGGGCTAGGCTATAAGATTAAGCCTGTAAAGTGGAGATTCTTAGACTGAAAAAGGTCAACGACTCTAGCGTAAATCACTACACTGGTATTATCCAACTGTGCATAACCGGATGTCCAAATTTCCCACCGGTCAGTCGTCAGTGCGGATTTAGGCCGTAATATCCACAGATGAGAGAGAGGGCAAAAGACAATTTTCCTGGTGAAATAAGCCGTCAGGATTATATCAACAGTTCTGCTGTGCTGACCTGTCGACAAACATCTGTAGAGCCCTATTAATTATGTACAGTTAATAATACTAATAATTGTATATAATTCTCTCTCTCTCTCTCTCTCTCTCTCTCTTTCTCTCTCTCTCACTACATATAGGCTATAATATATATATATATATATATATATATATATATATATATATATATATATATATATATATATATATTAGTGCTGGGCAACGATTAAAAAATTTAATCTCGATTAATCGCATGAATTTATTGCGATTAATCGCATTGTTACGCGCAAGAGTGAATAGTGAATTCGAAAGTAGTGTATTGCGCACTTTTGATTTAAATATAGGCCTACTGCTGTATACACAAAAGTGCAATAACATATGGTTTGCCAAAACTTTAAACAAATAAGCTGCTTTATACCAGCAGAATTCCCTTTACACAGTAGCAATAAAATATTTATTGTAAATCTCACCTTAAACAATAATGTAATCAAATCAAATATTAAAACAAAGCTATGCCACTGCCAGGGCATTACCTTTTATCTAGCTTGTTAAAACGAGTCCGGTTTTCTTGTTTTTCTTTCTGAACAGGTATCTTTTATCAGGGAGCAGAAACAGTCTATGTAGTCAGAGGTCATGACCACTACTACAGATATAAGTCGACCAACGTTACTTCTCTGATAGTAGCTTAGGTTTGGTCATGACATGGTTTCCCACGTACACTAAGATTACATTAAACAGATGTAAAGCCCAATTTATACTTTTGCGTCGAACTCACGCTACGTACCTGCTGTGTAGCGCGCGTACCCTGACGTGCACCTCTCCAAAAATGTAACAATGCGTCAATTATACGCGTACCGCAAGCGCTGTGAGCTAGTGCGACAAGCAAATGTGTTCCTGTGAAACTGTTGCGGTCATGCTCGCCTCATGCACGCGCCCGCGCCCTCCCGTTGCCGAAGTTGAATGGACGACGCGCAGCACAAATCATTGGAAGAGAGACTGATCCTCGGCTCGCTGTTTGTGAGTTTCCACAATCTAAATAGTTATCAGGACGTCATCAACAGAAGGGAATTCACATGGCAGCGCATCTCCACTAAACTAAACGCAGGCCTATCAGGTAAAATTATGTATAATTTTAATTTAAGTTAAAAAGGCTACAGCTGCGTAGCGCACAGAAGCCGTTGCATGGTTACTATCCATAGAGCGCCTGTCATTCACTCGAGCGGCGCTGTCTCCCTTTCTGTTCACCTGAGAGAACCTGCCAAAGCCTCTCCACTGCTTGTTTGGGTGGGTTATTTGCTGGCTGACCAATCCCACCCCTCGTGTGATCCATGGTTTGACTGTAGGCCTATGTGTATTCAGAGCCAGTGAGCAACGGACTTTCAAAATAATAAAAAAAAAAACCTGCGTTAACGTGCGATAAAAAAATTGTCGGCATTAATTAATAAATGCGTTAACGCGATAATAACGCGTTAACTTGCCCAGCCCTAATATATATATATATATATAATCTATCTATATATATATATACACTATAAATTAGGGGTGTAACGATACCCACATGTCACGAGTCGATACATATCACGATACTGAACTCACGATACGGATGTAAATGAATAGGCTTGGACTTGGTGCTGGTAACCAATGCACAGGACAATAGTGACATTAGAATACAAATATTCATGATTCTGAAGCTGAAAATGCAGAATTGTTTTAGACGAATATGTTTCTGACTAGATATATTTAAAATATTGTTGACCACTTTTTACTGGTAACAAGACATTTGGCATTATCAGGACCCACACATATTCCCAGATTGCATTATTATACATTTATATTCAACATTATATTGCAGTCTAATGTAGTACTGACACTAAAACTCTGAAAAGTGGATTTTTTTTCTCTCACAGTATTTTTTTATTTTGGGTGAACTATACACAATACATAGGCCTATTGTCACTGTCCACGATAAACATTGTTGCGTTTGTATTGGGATATATTGCGACATATTATTCATATATATATATAATGGCAAGTAGCCTATATATTATATAGGCCTACAATAATTTCAAAAATAATAAAAAATAGCCTACATAATAAATCTTTATAATAACAGTAATAGTATATCATTGTATTAACAACTATTATTATTTTAGTGAATTATTTCATATAATATATAATAATGTTGATTTAATTTAGTTAATTTGTATTCAATTTTAGTTGAAGAAACGGTAATGTAGCGTGTCATTATTGACTATGTACTGCCACATAGTGGTTGTAATAAACATTACACAGACTATGTTTTTTAGCGTCCACCAAACAGAGCCACATGTCATTCATACTGGTGGTGATATAGGCTATTTGTTTATCAAAAACGTGTGTATGTGTGTAAACAAACAATAATTGACCTTTTCACAGACTGTGATGACGTGTTTTGTCATCAGCATCGTAAATCCTGCAAAGTGTTTTATATTTGACTTTTTTCCAAAAATTTATATAGTCTACAATTATAACTTTCTTTGTATTGTATACTGTTGTATCAACCTACAAAAAAAACTAGTTAATGCTGTTGTGAGGGTGTTTCTGCTTCTGCTATGTGGGAGTGACGGTCAAATTGACACATTGGTTCCGTTATCAGTCTCTCTTTATGGTTTTCCTCTTTTGAAAGTTGTGAAAACACTGTTATGGAGTTTTTCTTTTGCTATTTGAGCAAATGGGAACACGAAAAATATATGTAATGTAAGTTAGTCTCTCATTCACCGCTATAGTTTACCCAACTATGAAGACTTCCGCTTCTGAGAAACCTGAAATGTGAAAAGAGTCAATGCTAGGCCTAATTATTTAGTGCAGAGAAAATAGAGAAGCTCAGTGAAACAGTTTGCAGTACAAACACTAAAAGTTTATTTTCATTTTCTTTTCGTGTCATCCTCTCAAGGAAAATTACACGATTGAAAACAATTATTTGACAAGAGTCCACCTATTAAAAAGCTACCCCAAACTCAGCGTTTCAGTGCTCTCTTTACTGAAAACAAAATGCCGTCAAATACATTAGTGTTCCGTTTTAATGCTCATTTTACTAACAGATACTCTGCAAAACATGTAAAACATGACAAAAACGAACGAACAAAACAGAACCCACAATCGTGTGTGGTAAATAAGACTGAAATCAACAATTTGATTCAGATTAAGGAGTCATCAACAAAAACGGCTCTGTAAGCACTGGACTGTCACTCATCGCTCTGGCTGTCGCTGTAACATGTCATTTGATGCACATGAAATCTCTTTCCACATGACACCACAATCAACGGCTTTCTTTACAGGGTGGAAAATGAATTTCTGACGTATCATTTGATTCATATTGAAATTAAAAATATATTTCCATCAATTAATTAATTATTTTTCCCAGCTTTTTAAAAATGTCAAAGGCATTATGGTGATAGAATCCAAATCTGACCTTTTTTTTTTTTGGCATATACCATTTTCTGAGCTGGAAAAAACAAAAAACAAAAGGCACTTTCAACACCTGTAGCTTTCACTTGGCATGAACAGAAGTGATAGAATGTGTTTATTTGGTGTACAAGAGAGACATGTGACCTACTTAGACTGGCTTGACAAAAAAAAATGTGGCAGAACATTTTTTTGTGGGACAAAATGCAAACATCAAGTGAGGTTATATACTTTTACTCACAAATAGACAAAGTCTGTGATGATAAACACTAAGGCACAATATGCTTTGGTGATTTTGCTATGTAAATTACCTCTATTGTGTAGCCTATTCTGATATGGGACGAAATAACGTGCTAGTTTCTTAAATCTGAAGTATGTAATTTATTTCTATGCCCCAACAGCGCCTCCTAACGGAATTTAAAAAAATAAAATATTGATAGCCCCGCCCCCAAATCACACCATTGGTCGAGTCAGTGTTGTTGCGTAGAACTAGACGAGTCGCTTAAAATAAAAAGGTTAAAGTTTAAAGTTAACCCATGAAATGGCTTTACTTATTTATAACACAGAAAAAGTTACATACTTCAGTTTTAAATGCAAATAAACAAAACTGATTAAGGTTTGTATTTGCCTTCAACATCTTTTGTTATTTGGAAAGTTTCTATGATGAAAATGATTTGTTTCTTAGTGTTTTAGTACTGGAACAGCCCATGTGCAGTGTAAGGCAGGTAGTTCCACATAAATAATACAGTACCTTTTTATGCTCTTTCATTAAAGTTAAATCCACTCAATGTGAAAAAACAAACAAAACAAAAACAAATACCAGGGGCGAATTAAGCATTTGAAATGTAGTTCAACGTGAGAATAAAAGGCTGAACAACAGAAAAAAGCTTCCATGTACTATGACAATACAACTTTATATAGGCTGAGCAACGTTCTTTCAAAACACATTGTGGTTTAAAACATCAACCGAGTTAAACAGACATCCAGACAAAAATAACAAAACTGTACCGTTTCACCCACGACAGGTTAAAGAAAAATAAACACCAAAACACGAGTGATGAACAAATTATAATGTAATTATTCATTCCAGACCTCACCCAAAAACGTGAGAAAAAGCCTTCTGGGGTGGGACTGACAGAGGCACAGCCACTTAAAATGAGCTCGAGTCATTCAAAGGCTTTTCTTAGTCCGTCAGGCTTTGCCGCTCTTGGCGGACGTCAGCTGTGTAAAGCCTCAGTGAATATAAAGTCTCCACTGTTCTGTGTGTGAGCAGTGGGTCGCTGACTGACTGACTGCTGTTAGTGTTACTGGTGTGAGTCGGGAGCCTCAGTCTTTGACCAGTCTGTAGATGTGATGCTGAGCGCCGTGCTCGCTGTTTGACACCTCGAACACGCAGGCCATGCACAGCAGGGTCTCCTGAGTGTCTCTGTTCGTCACCACCTGCAGGAACAGGAGAGAAAGCCGGCTTTTAGAAACCGCCCAACACGAGGACACATTTTTCACTGACTATATACACGTGGATTTAGATAACAGAATGAGATGGGGATTGCAGGACATACCAGGAGGATGGTAAAGTTTTCTAGTACGCTGTTCATCATGTACTTCTCAGGCAGGTGCTTGAGCTTATGGATGAAGTTGATCATGTATTCACACATGGGAGACCGGCTGATCTTGTACACAAAACGTCCGTTCTCAAACCGAGCATACTCCGTCTACCAAAGAAATAAGAGACTTTAATTAATTAATTAAATGAATTCATACAGTTTATATATATATATATATATATATATATATATATATTTATATATATATAAAACATTTTACACATTAAATATTTCAATTTTACAAATAAAATTTAAACACATAATTTAACTGAACTTTAAAAATAGTAAAGAAAACAAACAAATATAATTCATGTTATAACTGTATATAAAACACTACAATACATATTAATATGTACATGTTTATATGAAATATTACATATAAATTATATTAAAACATATAAATATATATATAATATTTGTATATACAAATACATAATATATACAATTTTACACATGATTTAAAACATGTCAATATTACAAATAACACTGAAAAATACAAATAAAATTCATATTATAATTGTATATAAAAATACATATTATTAAATTAAATATATACGCCTACATACATTTTACATGTATATACAATTTTAAATATTACAAGATTACACATAAAATTGAATATTTATTAACTGAACTTTAAAAATTGTAATTGTGTATATAAAAAGGTCTAATATAAAATTATAGTTAAACATATTAAAAAATAATAATAATAATTAAAAAAAATATATATATATATATTAATATGACCAAAAACAAGTGAAATAAACTAAACATATATAGTACATTTTGAGTTTACTTTTGATAGGATACATTTTGACGTTTACAAACATCTTTTTACTCCTTTATTTATCATATTCATTAGCACTCACCTCAACTTTCTCCACCACTTGTTTCCCGAAGGAGCAGACCTTTGTGGAGCAGGTAATGGTCATGTTCTCTGAGCTCTCGTACTGACTGGTCACGCCGTAGAAAGCCCCAGAATCCTCCTGGATGTTGCAGTTCAGGTCGGCCTGCGGACGCACCAGATAACAGCTCAGTGACGGATGGAGAGAAAACATTGACAAAAGCCACTTCGCATACAGTTGGGCAAATAAATGAGTAATTTGTCAGACACTAAAAAAATAAAAAGGTGCTTTATGTCAACAGTAAACTCTTTGGCAACTTTAACCTGTGAATAGAGCCTTCTGTGAAGTTTATCAAGGCCACACACACCTACAATCACTCAGTCTGATTTACAGCTGCATTTCATGAAACATCTGCAAATCTATTTTAAAACGTTGAGATATCAAATGCTGTTGAAAGAACATAAGAAAAAAAGAATAATCTTTTGTACAGTCTCAGAGATTTCAAGGTTATAAAACATGATTTATTATGCCACAATTGTGTAGAGATATAATAAAAATAATAAGAACACTTTGGCCAGCACAATTCACCATCCGAAAACTAGTGTCCGACGTAAGAGTGTAATAAGTGTTAACCTTCAGTTCTTTATTTCAGTCTGTCCAGGATGAGGCCGTCATGCGCTTGCACCTGTCGCTCAGAGCGGCAGGTGTTCAAATAAAGGCTCCCTATCAAACCCAGCATCAGCAGTATTAAAGGACAGAGCGCGCTGTGTTTCACAGGGATTAAACACACCACTGCTGGCTTTAACACAGCACTTTAATCAAACGCCGACGTGTTGAACCGATTCAGCTGCCTCAACTCAAGCGCATGCAGGTCACTAGAGCTCGGCGGACACTGCTTTCTCAGCGGCTCGTATAATGCTGACGTATGGTGGATTCTGTAACTGTGGGTGCTTTTGTGTCACATGACTTTATTTTTTATAAAAAATAAAAACTTTTAAATGTTTTTCAGATGTCTTTTTTATTGATGTCTGATTTTATTGTTTTACATTTTATCCCAGATCCAGACTTTCAGTCTTAAACTAGCAAAAGCTATCATAAAACATAAATTATGTTTTAGGTTTATTTTAGAATTAAAGTTCAAAATGGATAAATAATTAGTTTATGATTGAAATGTGATTTAAATAAAGCCAAAATTACCCATACTTGAAGAAACACTTGAAGTAAATTTACAAAACTACAAATTAACTTTGTATTTACTATTTACTACTTAAGTTTCATATTGACAATGATAGCTTTCAATATGAAAATTATTTGTATTAAAAAAGAACTGACCCAGACTTTTACTCATTCTTAAAAGCCATCACAAAAAAACAATTATGTTTAATGTTTATTTTAGAACTAAAGCTACATTTTTTTTATATAAAACCCATACTAGTATTTATTAGTTATTCAATAAATTATTATAAGAATTACTCTTACCCAAGACCAGAATTTCATTCATTCTTAAACTATAAAAAGCCATCATGAAGAGTGATTTATTATGTTTAAAAGTTAATTTTAGAATTTGTTACATTTTTGTTATATAAAACGTATTCATTTAAAATTGTCCATTCTAAGTATTTATTTATTTTTCAAATTAGGTTTTGACAATGATATCTTTTAGTACAAAAAAATGTTTATATTAAAAAAGAATTAACTGAATTATAATTTATTATAAGAACTACCCTTATCCCAGATCCTAAACTATAAAAAGCCATAATACAAAAATTATTATTATTTATTATTATTATAAGTATTTATTAGTTAGGTTTTTATATTGACAATATCTTTTAATATGAAAATGATTTACATTACAGCCAAAAGTGAAAATAAAATGTGCACAAAAATGCTGAAACTAATTATGATTATAATAATTATTTACTTTTTTTCACATTTATTTTATAAATATATTCACTATATATATATATATATATATACATACAGTTGTGGTCAGAGTTATTGCCACCCCTGGTAAATATGATCAAAGACGGCTGTGAAAGTAAATCTGCATTGTTTATTATTTTGATCTTTCATTCAAAAAAAAAATCCACAAAACTCAAACCTTTCATTGAAGAAAAAGAATTGAAAGGGGGGGGGGGGGTGTTTTGTTTTTTCTCCAAAACACGTTGGCCACAATTACTGGCGCCCCTAGAATTTTTTATGAGTAAAATATCTCTGAAGTATATTTTCATGAATATTTACATTTTTTTGCTTTCAGAGGAGTATAAATATGAGGAAACACAAAGGGCAAATTCCCTTAATCTCATTCATCACAATGAGTAAAGCCAAAGAATATAGTTCTGATGTGCAGCAAAAGATTGTTGACCTTCACAAAATAGAAAGTGGCAGTAAGAAATAAGCTAAAGCAGTGAAAATCCCCATTTCCACCATCAGGGCAATAATCAAGAAGTTCCAATCAACTAAAGATGTTATGAATCTGCCTGGAAGAGGACGTGTGTCTATATCGTCCTAATGCACGGTGAGGAGGAGAGTTTGAGTGGCCAAAGACTCTCCAAGGATCACAGATGGAGAATTGCAGAGATTACTTGAGTCTTGGGGTCAAAAAGCCTTAAAAAAAAAAAATCAAACAACCCCTACATCCCCACATGTTGTTTGGGAGGGTTTCAAGAAAAATCCTCCTCGCTCATCCAAAAACAAACTCCAGCATATTCAGTTGTCAGACACGACTGGAACTTCAAATGGCATGAGGTTCTGTGGTCAGATGAAACTAAAAAAAGAGCTTTTTGGCAGCAAACCCACCAGATGTGTTTGGTACTAACAGGGATAAAGAGTATCCCATGCCCACGGTTAAATATACTGCTGGATCTTTAATGTTGTGGGTCTATATTTTGTTGCTGAAGGTCCTGGAAATCTTGTTCAGATACATGGTATCATGGATTCTAGCAAATACAAACACATAAAAAATCAAAACTTGACAGCCTCTGCTAGAAATCATTTAATGGGCTGTGGTTGGATCTTCCATCAGGACAACGATCCAGAACAAACATCAAAATCAACACAAAAATGTGTCTCTGAGCACAAAATGAAGCTTCTGCCATGACCGTCCCAGTCCCTGACCTGAACCCTAAAATGAGTGGGCTGAACTGAAGAGGAGAAGCACCAACATGGATCTGGGAATCTGAAGGATCTGGAGGAATGCTCTCTGATCTCTTGTCAGGTGTTCTCCAAACTCATCAGGCATAGGAGAAAACTCAGAGCTGTTATTTTAGCAAAAAGAGGTCACAAAAAGACAATAATTAATAAAAGGGTGCCAGTAAATTATGGCCAACGTGTTTTGGAGAAAAACATTTATTTCATAATGTGTTTTTCCCCCCAATTTCAATTCATTTACTTCAGTAAAAGGTTGGAGGTTTGCACATTTTTTGGTAACAATGCAGATTTATTTTTACAGCCATCTTTGATCACATTTACCAAGGGGTGCCAATAATTCTGACCACAACTGTATATATATATTTATATATATTCACTATATATTAATCACTATAATGCACTATAACACCATTGTTTAAAAAAATGTCTCACTATTACAGGTGTTTCTGGACATTTTTATTGGATTGAGAAGTGAAGTAGCACATAAAATGATGTGGAAAAAAGAAGAAAATGGGTTTAGAAAATGATTTGAACTGAATTAGTATAGTTAGCATGAGCAGCAGAGCACATGCGCTAACAGCTAGGCCGCGGCCCGACTGCTCAAACTGACTCACCCAGAACTTGACCAGGAAGAAGGCGTTCTGAGGTCCTTTCCCAAACAGCTCCTTCAGCCCACCCTTCTTCTCAGGGAATTTGTCGTAGATTTGACGTATGTCCACTGTCTCCAGAAGCGCGTCGTTGTACGAGTAACTCGTCTGGCCGATGTGCACAAACAGATGCTTGTTGTACTGCACAAAGAGTTGCGAATTAGATCGATGCAACATATACACAAACATACTTTTTTTGTAAGATGTTTGTTGTCGAAGCAACAATATTTTTTATAGTTTATCGTTTTCAATGAGTTAAAATGCTATTCCCAAATGTTGTTTGTATCCGTAATGAAGCATTTCAGATTTCAGGTTCTGCTGAATGTTTGTGTGGCTGGACGACTGTGTTGAGAACACGACCGGTTCTGCGTATAACGCATGATTAATAGCTGCTGTCACGCCAGACCAGAGGGACAAGCATTTCATACAGATGCTGCCAACATGATGGATAACACAGGTCTGCTTTAACACGGACACTAGACATTTTGATAACCTGTAGGTCACAAGAAGTTCTTCCCAGGTCTCACTTTTAATCTGCACATACAGTTTTGTCTTCATTGTCTTGACTGCAGTCAGATCAGGGCGTAAATAGGACATTCAGCATCGGTCAGCTGATCTACAGACACTTTTGGAGGACTACTAGATCATAATAAGCAGGGGCAGTTCTGCACCAGAAAAGATGTGTTTTGGTTTAGCGCTGCATTTAATTTGAGCTGAAAATGACTTAAGAAATGCAATCTTGAGCTTCTGTAGTTTTCCATCATTATCATTGGATCAGGAAAAATGCAGGATGTGACCTTGGTCATCATGACCATCTCCAATAAGACCCAAACGGCCGGCAGCTGCTGTCCGTGGATTTACATTTCTTTAAAGCATCGCACAAGCTTGCTGATCCAAGGCTAAACTCAATACTTTCACCAAGTTATGTAATTCTTATATTATTAAACAAATATATTATGATTTAATAATAGAAATAATATCAATTTGATAAACAATTCTACCACTAAGTAATGTACTACTGTATTTATATTCTCATTTTATATTATAACTATTATATTATATTATATTATATTATGATATTTTATTCAGTATTTTATTTCTTAGAGGTGTAACTAGTTGATTAATACAAACGCACAATGCAACATTTCTAAAGTAAGAAATTTATAATAAATTAATATAGTTATAAACATTACATTATTTTAAATATTATATTATATTATATTATATTATATTATATTATTTTATATTATATTAAATTATATTATATTATATTATATTATCACCAACACCAAGGATATGCAAGTAAAATAATGCAATACTACTAAAATCAATCGTAGCATTTATGGTAAAAGTATCTTTAATTTAAAATAAATAAATACATTTCACATATTACTCATCTGGTGAAAAGAGTATTTAAGCAATACATTTAAGTAAATAAATAAAAACATACTTTTTTATTTTTATTTACTATAATATTATTTAATTATAGATTTATTATTACTTTAGAAATGTTGCATTATGCTTTTGAGCATGTGTATTCAACAACACCTCCAAGAAATAAAAATACTGAATAAAATAGTAGTTTAAATTTTTTTTTCAGCTATAAACCATAAACATTCTTTTATAATAATTCTGCTGAATATTTATATATATATATATATATATATATATATATATATATATATATATATATATATATAATGTAATATAATATATAATATAATATTATTACATTATACAATGCTTAACAGATGATAAAAATTGCAGAGCTGCAGAAGTCATCATTTAATAGTGTTTGTTGTGATGTTGATTTGATCTCTCCATGATAAAGATGTAGATGTTCAGTGCTGAAGAAGTAAAGCAGCAGTATTTTTGAGGCTGGTAAAGCAGGTCAAGGCTGCTCTTCTGCAGTAATTCTGGGTATGTGTGCTGACTCACTGAATCTGGGTCCCGCTGATGCTCCAGGAAGGAGGAGAACTCCACCAGCCGCAGTTTAGAGGTGCCAATAGAGCGCCCGTGCCACACCGGGACAGCAGCTGTGAGGGCTGTGGGGGACTCGTAAGCTACACACACACACACAGCACACATCAGTGATGGATTAAAGAAATAAGACCAGACTCGTTAAAGGGATAGTTCACCCATAAATGAAAAGTAAATGATGACAGAATTTAAATTTTTGGGTGAACTGTCCCTTTAAGAGTGATTTAACTATAATAAATATACTAGATTTTTTTTTAAATGAATAAATCTTCTTACACTTAATAATTTAATTACATTGTTTTAATATGATAGTATACATATAATTTATATATTTACATATTATATTACAATTAAAGCGAAATATATAATAGTGTAAATATACTTTTTATTTATTAATATTACATAGAAAATACAATTTTAATACAATTTTAATAATAAACAATTCTTCAACCAAGTAATGTAATTCTCATATCATATTATAAATATATATTTTATTTATATTATATAAACTAAATTATATTACAAATTAATCATTTATACAAACCTGCAATAGCTGTGGCCGTCTGGATGGGGTAATTCTGCTGTGAGAACGGCTTTATACTGAGGAACAAGAGAGCTCATTATTACAAGGGGGCAGTTTTATGTTTGCAACAAGTTGTTTATTAGTTTATAATACATTATTTTACTAGGTACAAATTCAACCATGTGTAGCCTAACTGACTTAGTTTAAGTTCTATCTACTTACTCTTGTGAGGAACCAGGCTGTCCTGTCGGCACCTGCCAAATCTAGAAAGGGAGCAAAAGTTACACTTATTCACAAATGTTGCAGTGCTCAAGTGAAACCATACGCATGGATTTATTCTTTTGCTTGTCCTTTAAATGGACACTAATGGCTTTAAAGTGTGCTGGGGCATGTCTTACCCCTGTGGACCCAGGTAAGGTGGCCCGTGGGAGTCCCGCGAGCCCCAGCCGGCTGTGGATGGCCGTGGCCGAGACGATCTGTGCTGAAGACATGGCTGCCATCCTGCTGATCGCATCATTCTTCACGCTCTGGTCCTTCAACGACACACATCACAGAGAACATTCAGCTCCTGTATTTATGACTTAAAGGCAGAGGGTCTCATCATTTCTTCAAATGAATTTGTCTTAAGACCAGACGGCGTGAAAACGTAGGTAAGGCCCATTTAAACTGCTCTATGGAGGCATGATTCTTTAAACAAGCTAAATGGGAAAATTGTTTTGTCATTGACCTATGAATCTGAAAATTAATTGACTTTTTATATAAAACGTAGCCTTATATAAGTATAGTAATGCATAAAGCAGAGGTAAATTGTATGCGAGGAACTACATTTAATTAGACAGAGTGCTTTCTGAATCATGTGAATTACTGTGAATGTACAGTAAGACCAGCAATATGCCCTCAAATGTTCTCGTAACTAGTAATCAGAGTTGTTAAGAGTCTCTGAGCTCCCGTCATGCATTGCACATGTGGTAAAGTTTTGACTTTATGCATGCTGTTGCACCATTTGGTGAGGTCTGTTAGACTTCTGTGGCTTGTGTTACTCATTTGGAGAATGTGAGCTGTTTTTGTCAGCTGCAGTGCATGAAAGCAGCAGTCAGTCTGAGTGTCTGATCAATGGCTTTCATTCTGGTCAAGCATGCTGTCAAGTACGGGAGTGCATACGCTCAAAGAAGAGCCTTTTGTATAATCAAATGAGTAACCGATCCTATTCCCGCCTTTTCTCCCTTCTGTATGTCCACTGTATCAGGCTTATAAAGAAGGCAAAAGCATCAGGGCGAAAACATTAAAGACTAATCAGAGGTTTTACCTTATTAACTGCAGGTTTAGTGTTGTTCATATTAAAGTCAGCATGAAATCCCTCCCTCTTGCAGTGACATCTCTTCTCTGTTTACTGGCGCGAGGGCGGGACAACCCGGCAATCACATGAGATCTACCAATAGCAAACCGCAACTATCCAATCAATTCCTGATGGACAAAATCAAGTCTCGTCCTACATATATATATTTTTTTTCAAGAAGCTGTTTCATTCGGATATACCGTACATCAAAATAGGGAAGAAAAGACGATCGCAACTTCCATTTCATGCCGACTTTAAGTACTGTCGGTATGAAGTATTAAATAGTGGTCAGTCAGCAATATTTAGGTCTACAATGTATGAAAATGACCTGTCTAACCTTTATCGTTCTGCAGTAGACGATGTTAGCACACTTGAACTTGTCAAAGTGTATTCATACAAGCAAATGATGTCGATGGCAGACTGAGTCTGAACTGTCATTCGCTGTTTAACCACCAGATGCCACAGCTGCTCAAAAGCGTGATCCTTTGACACCCCTCCTCCTTTACACGTCAGACGATCACAACATCAGCCAACGTGCCACTATGCATTATGTTGTAAATAGTACAATGAAAAATTTTAATTCATAATTTTTATATAACTGTATAGGTGGTCAGTAATTATCTTTTACCAAAGACACATTAAATTGATCAAAAGTAACAGTAAAATCATTTATAATGGTACCAAAGATTTCTGTTTCAAATGAATGCTGTTCTTTGTTTCCACAAAAATATTAAGCAGCACAACTGTTTTCAACATTGATAATATAAGAAATGTTTCTTGAGGAGCAAATCAGCATATTATAATGATTTCTGAAGGATCATGTGACACTGAAGACTGGAGTAATGATGCTGAAAATACAGCTTTGCATCACAGGAATAAATTACATTTTATAATATAGGAAACAGTTATTTTATATTTTAATAATATTTAACAGTTTTACTGTATTCTTGATCAAATGCAACCTTGGTGAGCATTAGAGACTTATTTTCAAAAATGTTTTAATATTTTATTGAAAAACTAATTTTATGCATCATTTTACATAATATATCATTTTTTGAATCATTTAATAATATATTTTAATATTTTATTAATTATAAATATTTATTGTCAAATAATTTAACATTAGCCAGTCACTGGCCTACAACCCACAGTAATCCTTATTAAAACAATTTTTTTTTAAATGGTTGATTTAAAAAGAACATTTTTACTAAATTACTATTTAAAATGCGATTTGAATTAAATGGTTGAGCATTTCACAATATCAATGTATTTTTTGATCAAACAAATGCTGTTTTGGTAAAGAATTTTTTTTATTGAAAAACTCATTATCTATATACATAATATATGTTTTAACCATTTAATAAATAATATGATTTAAAAAAAATATTTTAGCATCATAAGTTATCAGGCTAAACAATGCCAGTGACCTGAAACTATGACACGTCTGGAAATCTTGGATTAGATTGGATAGTTACTCATATATTGTCACATGCAAAAATGATATCTAAAGGGGGCACGTCTGCCTTTGAGTTTCATGCTGCTTTTCAAATCATGTGCTTGTCCTTGAACAACTTTGCTCAAGCCAAGTATATCACACATTAACACACATTTTTCAGTGTGTATGCAACGCCTGGCAAAATGCAGTTTCTTCCAAAACAAACACACTTTTGTGCGAAACAGGAAGGAAACGGACAAACATGCAGAAGAAAAGAAGTTAGCCAGTTGACTGCATACTAAGCAGGGCAGTCACAAGCAGGAAATCTAGGTTACAGACACCCAAACAGCAGGGCACCCGTACACACACACACACACACACACACACACACACACTGTTCGGTACGGATATGGCCTGAGAGAATACACATACACACACAGACTGTGTCAAACACAAGATGTAGGCATGTACCTTTAGCTTGGAGTGAAATTCTCTGGATTTCCGCCGGGCAAGAACCTGGATATGACTGGAGACCTGGTCACACACACACACACACACACACACACAAACACAAAAGGAGCATTTTGTAACCATGGAGATGAAAGGCTCCCTGCCATTAGCCACAAAAAAACATGTACTTTAATTACAACCAGAACATCTACCGTAATACAACCTTTCACATCATTTGTTCAGGAACCAGGAAGAAGCATGCGATCAGCTATTTAATTAGTTAAGAATTCAGTTTTTAAGTCAAACTGACTTTACAGTAAAACTGTAAAGATTTGCAGTGAACTGAGAGCACAAAGCAACAGGTGTCCGCTCGCTGAAGAACGCTTCGGTAACTAAGGAAGGCAGTAAGCCAGCAAGACCACGTTTGGTTGAAGCTATAAACAAAGCCTGGCTTGTCACTGTCAATGTTGAGAATTTACTGGAAATAAACCGTAGATCAGTCACGGTAACCAGCATTATTTAGAATTGAACTTAGAATTTGAAGCAGCTCCACAAACCTGCTTTCTCGTCCGTGTTTTTCCCGTTCTGAGTTTGATGTATCTGGCAATTAATTCATTACGACCTGTAAGAGAAAACAAAGAAATGCTTGTTTATGGACAACAAAATTATATGTAGTCAATATTTATATTTTAAAGAAATGATTTCAGTTACTTCACTTTGATTCATAGGTGAATACATGAACAATTAGATATTACACAACACAAACTGTCTTTCAGACAATTAAAGATAAAAATTGTGCATATTTATTATTTTATATAATTAACCTCAATTAATGGCATATATCAAATGAATAAATATTGTCTTTGAATTTACAATATTGTGGCAGTCGAATATATCATTCAATAGACAAAAAGAATCAATATATTGTTTATTTTTATATTATATATTAATATATAATTATATTAATAAAATAAAATCTTTATTAAAAAAATTGTAAATCAAAAATTAATAAAAAAAAAATTTAATTGTACTAAATTAACATTTAAAAAGCGATTTGAATTATATGGTGAAATCAAAGATTATTAGTGCATAACTTATTCCTCAGACAATGCTATTCTACTGAATTCAAGAAGACTTGAAATGAGGAGCTATGGAAGTTTCTAATGTGAATATGAACTATAGAGCTTATAGTGCTTTTTGAAGTTTGACAGCCGCTGGTCACAATATACACTACAAAATGCTGGGTTGTTTCAACCCAAGGTTGGGTCAAATATCAAACCCAACCGTTGGTTTAAAGTTTTAAATACAATTTTTAAAACCAACGGTTGGATTAGTCCATATTTGACCCAAACCCATTTTTACGATTTTTCACTGTATGGAAAAGAGCCGCGTGAACCTTCTTCAAAACATCTCCTTTTGTGTTTCACGGATGACAGATGTCATTTGGGTTTGGAATGACATGAAGGTGAGTAAATAGTTTCATTTTTTGGGCAAACTATTCCTTTAAGGACAATATCTGACTGTCAGTCAGGGTATTTTTCTCCAGCTAGCCTTTACCCAATGTGCTTGCATGCAGTGTAATCTCTTCTAACCCAGACCTGGGCCTCCCTATTCTTCCAAACACAAACATTCGTGTACACACACACACACACACACACACACACAATGCGGGCATTCATGCACACTCCGCTCTCAGATCAAAGACTCTCCAAACGGCCAGCTGTAAGCATGCTTACTGCTGCATAATTCATTCTTTTCAGTCACTTGAAAACATGCTCAGCTGGACTTGGCAAACCTGCAAAACAACCTCCAGAGAGGAAGGGGACTTACAGGGACAGAGAAAGAGAGCCTGTCGACGAATGTTGAGTTTTGAGAGTCTCCCCCGTGGAGTTTAGTAGACAAACCAAAGCATAAACCGATCAAAGAGACCGGTTCACTCTCAACAAGAGATAAGATAAACAACACTATCAGTTCAGTAAATACTGAATGACAGCTGATTACAGTTTTTTTTTTTTTTCAATTGCTAACAAGCATCAAACAACAAAACATCAACACTATGTCTAGTATAATGACGTGTGTGCAGTATTGGAGCTGTGTTAGGAGGAATTTCTGTGGAGTTTGCATGTTCTCTCCGTGTTGGCGTTGGTTTCCTCTGGGTTTACCCCAGTAAGTTTGCCCGTAGGTGTGACTGTGAATATGCTTGTGTGTGATGTACCGGCTGTCTGTCTTAAGGTCTTTTCCTGCCTCCGTCCCGAGACACTGGAAAAGGCTCCAACCTCCCCACGACCCCACATGGGACAAGCGCTTCGGAAAATGTATGGAATATATGGACAAATGGAAGGATGGACAATACTGTGAGGGTTAGTCCCTCTCTCTGCCACTCTTCTTTCCCCATCAATGTGTCATCCTTGAGCCAATGTATACACATTTATAAAATATATATATATATATATATAAAAAAATATATATATATATATATATTATTCATATATAATATGAATATGTATGAATATTAATTTATAATTACATTTAATTATAATACATACATTATAATAAATAACATACATAGGCCTATACATTCAGACATTTTTATTTATATATATTACATTATATATTACTAATATATTAATATTGAATTAATTATATAAATATTAAATAATTAAAAAAAATACTTCTGTAGTTATTTTTTTATTTGATATATTACTTATGTTGTATTATTAATAAAATCACTATTATGTGAATTATACATAATTCAATTATAAATTATATTTATTCTAATATATATAGCTGATGATCCACCATTAACAGGACATCTGAATCTTCTGATGACTCGGCAATGTCAGGCAACACTAAGTGAAGTGGGTTTTTTCCAATTCATTCAGGTTTGGTGATGACTTACTCAACACTGAGCCAAGACTGAGAAACACTTATAGTTGAACAGATGGACTAGAATTAGCTGTAAAGTGAGGGGGTCGGACGGAGTTCCTTTCTAATGGTGTTACAGAAGTATTGAAGTTATGCTGGTGGAGGTCACATCACAAAAACCATTGAGGATGTGGTGGGTTAAAGGTCATTCAATGACAATATCAGCTTGATCAGCAAGTAAAGCAGCCCTGAGGAACACCCGCTGTTTGCAATTAAAAGCGAGCTGATAAATGGACCTCACATTGAGGCAGGGTTAACCTCAGCGGTCCTTCTAAGGGGAAAGATGGCGCCAAAAATGTGTCTCGTCAATCATTGTGCACTGACAGCTTACTCTACCACCAAACGCTGTGATATCCAAACCTGCGTGCTTTTCTCAGGACTTGTCACTCTCAGTAAAGCAACAGGTGCAATGCCTTTAAGGGACAGTTCACCAACAAAATAACATTTGTCATCATTTACTCACTCTCATTCCAAACCTGTATAACTGTATGTTACTCACACTTGTATACTTCAGAAAACTTGGAATATATGCATGAGTTATGATAGAGTCATTTTGCATCCTTTTTGAAGCTACAAAATTGCTCTTTTGTGTCCTGCAGGAAACAAAAGTTGGTTTGTAAAGTCATGAGGGTGAGTGAATGATGATTCGTCATTTACATGTAATTATGTAATTGCCCCTAAAAGGTTGTGATAATACAGTAAAATCAGCTTTAGCTCTTTGCTAGTAAGAACTACGTTTAGCTTACTGCTGAGCCAGATTGTTCTTTCTTCTGATTTCAGATAACACTGACTCTCCGTTCTGCAAGTGATGTCATTTCCTTGCTGAGTCTGTCTGTAGAGAGTTTAGACTGCATGGGTCACTGAAGAGAAAGGGTGATGTCAGAAGCTGAGAGTGAGCCTGACGCGTGGCTCACATACTCTCTCTCTCTCTCTCTCAATTTGATCATTTTGCTGTCATCTTGTCAACTCTCAGAAAGTGGTGAGATTGGATAAAAGAATTTGGTTCTCCTTGCAAATCTTTGACCGTTTCAGATGACCCACAAGTATTGGGGTGTTGGCCCGTGGGTGTGACGGTGACGGGCAGGGTAGAAACCCCAAATCTTTGGGACAATGGGTCCGCTGCACTGCCAGGCCTGATGGATGACTCTGAGGACTCGCTGCCATTACAATCACAATGGCCTAAACTAACAATGCAAAGACTTTCTGTAGGAGGTCCATGACTAAGGAATGACGGGTCTAAACTGAGACTGCAATATTCATGGCTGATTTCCACAGGCATTACAGAGATCAACAATTTACCTGTTGGTTTACATTACATCTTAAGCAACAGTAATAAAAAAACAGAATCGAATGATAGACATAATAATAATATTATAACAGTGTTTCCCCTAGGATTTTGGTTTGGGGGGGGGGGGGGGGGGGGGGGGGGGGGGACTGCTAGTGTTGCGGAGCGGGCGTGTTACGGATACCTGGTGTAATTTTTTTATTTTTTATTAATTGAAATCATGTATTATGAATCATTAAACTTATACAGCTTCTTTTTTTTTTAATATATGAAAAAAAAATTCACACTAATTCTGTGTTGTGTTTTTTCTGGTAATAAAATGAAGACATAAAACACAAATTGTATCATTTATCATCAATTTTAATCATATGAAATTAAATAAACTTTAGTTTTTGTCAAATAACTTGCTGCACAATGAGCTTTAGCCTACTGTTAAAATTAAAACATGGATTATTCCTTAAAAATTTCAGTTTTGATGATAATTTATTTGGATTAGTGTTAGTGTATTATTACATTGGGACATATCTAAATTCTAATGTACAACAGTAATATATTTCTGTCAAGTTAAACCGAACTTTTATTTTGACGGGTTGCCGTGAAGACCTTTTGAGTTTCTGTGTGTTTGTCATGATGATAGTTTTTCTCAAATGAAGCGGTGAAATGATCACGAAGTGACTTTCAGAGTGAATCTAGAGCCTGGAGAGGAAGTTCATGCGTTTGTGTCTTCATACAGGCCAAAAAACAGCGCAAGCGTCACACGTGCTTCGTTCAGTGTGTGTGTGTGTGTGTGTGTGTGGTAAATGCGTGTCGGCGGCACCATTCATTTACACAGAACATGCAGGATTCGTATTTAAATAGTCTTTGTGTTTTAATATTCACACACACTAGTCTACATCGCGATTTGATTTCAAGTGTACTGAACTGCTTTCTATTTTTTCCTCAAATTTACAAATTCCGTGAAATTCCGTGTTATACACTAAATTCCTTTTTTATGACTGGATTTCGTCAGCATTTTTTTGGGCGGGCCGCCCCCCCAAAACAATGGTAGGGGAAACACTGTATAATGTAATATTTGTCATTAAAAAAATATAAAAATCACAAAAACAGACTTGAAATAAATAAAAGCATAAATAAATTAATTTTTCTAATTTCTAATGTATGTTATGTTATACAGGGCTGGACTGGGACAAAAAATCGGCCCGGGCATTTTGGCCCAGACTGGCCCACTATATACCACAACCGAACTTTGCACGCCCTTGAATATGTATACCAACTCCTATTAAAACCACTAATGCCATAAGTGAATAGGAGTGAGTAAGAGTTAACCGATGAAAATAACTACTAAGTTGAACTATACTCCACAGTGATGAATCCTAAAGAAAGCTATAAGCTGGGATAGCAATACTGTTTTT